TTATTACCGGTATCCTGGTGCCTGCAGTTAAAATTATTTAGATGAAAAACTCCTGCCAGCAGCCGCGGTGAACCTGGAGGCTACCCAGCCTAGAGGCTGCTGTTGAAGGGATTTCTGCTGTCGGTGCACCGCTGGTATGTGGGGGTCTGAGCGCCTGCGACAGAAATAGATAATCTGGATGAACTGACTGCAATTATGAAGTTTTCAGGTGGACTTTCTCACTTAAAAACATATTAAAACTACTTTATTCCCACTGATCACAGCAAATATAGCTGCAAGATTTAGATTATTTAGATGAAAAAACACCTGCCAGCCACCGCGGTGAAGAGGAGGAGACCCGCCCAGAGGCTGCTGTTGAATTAAGTTTTCAGGTAGAAAAATAGAGCGGGAGCAAAACTGAGTATGATTGTGCTTTATTCATGTATTTATTACAAAGTATTAATCGAACCCATCAAAGTCATCATCCTCTGTTTCTGAATTAAACAGCTGCGCTAAATCAGACATGCCAATTTCCCCTTCTTCGCTGTCAGTCACTTTCCGTGCAGCGCGGCTCCTCAGAAATAATGCCGGCTTTTGCGAAAGCTTGAACAACAGAGCCAGCAGACACGTTAGTCCAAGCATCTACAATCCATCCGCAAACTGTGGCGTAACCTGCCCGGCGCTGCCTTCCACTTATCCTGAAACTGTGGTCTCCGTCTGTCATCCATCGCTCCCACGCCGCTCGCAGCCTTACTTTGAACGGCCGGTTCACACCGATGTCGAGCGGTTGAAGTTCCTTTGTCAGACCCCCGGGATAACGGCGAGCACAGCGTTTATTTGTTTCACCATGTTTTTCTCATCAGCTGTGAGACGGGCACGCAGCGATGGTGATGCGTGGAGAAAAACACCTGTTCTCCTCACATACACCTGCCTCAGCTACGCTTTCATCGTCTCCTCATCAATCCAGCCCTTTTCATTTGCGTTAATATCATATGTCATCAGAGCGCTGTGTCTGTCTCGCTGTCAGCTCCCAGATCAGCTTCTCTGATTGGTTGATGCGGCGCGTCCAGCAGCAAAACTTAAATTTTTCCATCTCGAGCAGCAGCAGCGCGTTGGCAGATGCTTAAACGCTCCTGCTGCTCAAAACGCGCTGCGGGACCTTTTGCTGCACCTATACGCGCGTCAACCATTGACTTTGCATGTAAACTCGCTGCTTCTGCTGCACCTGCTGGGTCCGGTTCACACCGATGTCGAGCGGTTGAACAGCAGGAACAGGGTTAATTTGTTTCCCCATGTTTTTCACATCAGCTGTGAGATGGGCACGCATGGAGTCACATATTAACAGCGATGGTGAGGAGTGGAAAAAAAACACCTGGTCTCCTTACATTCAGCCACTCTTTCATCATCTCCTCAATGAGGTGGTCTCAAAAGTCGCAGTTACAACACACATAAGGCGCACCGCACATTTTGAGGGGAAAAAAAGACGTTTAAGTGCGCCTTATAGTCGTGAAAATACGGTAATTGTTTATCGCTGTATTTATTTATTTAATTGTGGCACTTTATATTAGTGACCTAGTGACCTTAAAGTGTTTTCCTTCTATTTCTCTACCAAATTAAAATTGTGCTTTATTAAATGTTGTTTTATCACATACGATTCCCAATATTATGTATTTAAACACGTGGATCAAAGGCTGTGAATGCATTTTTGCAATCCGACCATTGGCCTTTTAATCTTATCCTCAGTCGGTTGCAGACGAAGAGTTTATGAGCCTTTTTCTTGGTAACATCATTTATGTCAGCTTTTATGACAGCAGAGGCAGCTGTAAAAGTGCAGGAAGAAGACTGGCTCTGCTTAATCATGTCTCTGCTTACAGTTGATGAAGAAATAAATGAATCATTCATTTAAAGATCGGATTGAACAGACAAAAAAATGTGTTTGTTGGTTTCTAGCTGTTAATCTGTGGCTTGTTTTCTAGCATGCTGATGAATTTAGGTTTTTATGATTATTTTGCTTGTTATTTTTTGTAATAACTTAGATTATTATTATTTTTTTTACTTGTTAAGTATTTTTCCTCTCTTAAATTCCTGTGTCTCTGTAGCAAAGAATATTTTCCGCGTGAGCTCCGTGGATCCGTCCCACGGCCAGACCCACACCCTGCAAGTCGGTGACGTTTACCACAAGCAGCAGTGGCTCAACTGCCTGCGCACTGCAATCACCCAACAGCAGGGGGCTCCAGCTAGGGTCCAGCAGGAGGGGTCCAACCTCCCATCTTCAATCTCCCCAGGAAAGATCTGTAAGGAAGAGACAGACGAGAACAGTCCACCAGCAGCCGCCCCTAAGCTCAGGCGCCAGACGCTCTCCAAAGGCAGACTGGAGCAGAAGTTACAGGGATCACAAAAGAGGAAGGAAACTGGAGTTTAGACAAATCAAATGTTTCCTGTCAGTCTAGTCTGCGTCTCTTCTTATGCTTGTCTTTTTAGCTGCACTGAACACCCCCGTCCAAAATGTGTTTGTTTTTTTTATCCAAATTTAAAAACATGTATTAAGTTTACAAAAACAAAAAATGAAAAATCAATCTTTGCCAAATGCCTGTGTTAGTGTTATACCACTGTTTACCGGTTTGACTCTGTGTTTTATGTATTTAAACTCTGTTATCATGTGTAAAGCTGCCCGCTAAGTGAATCGCTCTAAAATAAAGGGAAGCCAAGATAACATCTGAGCTGTTCACAGGAAGCTACAAGCTGAAAACATTAGCTTTTCTGCAAGGTGTGACTATCTGCATACAATAATAAGGTGAACGTTTCTTGGAAAACAGAATGAGATGTGTACATATTAGGAATCTGTGAAAATCTGTGACAAAAATAAGTAAAATCTTTCTGCTTGTTACTGTTCGTCCTGCGTTTTATTGGCTCTGAGTTGTTTGCACTGCAACGCGTTCATTATTCAGTTGTACTTCGACCCTTTCAAGCCACTTCCTACTACTGAGGTTGTTTTTTAGATACGGCATAACATTTCTGCACCAACCTGTTTTTTTTTTCAACATATAAGGGTAAAAGAGTAATGATATTACGCGAAACATCTTCACATCTTGGAAACCAAGTCCAGTGGATTTTTTTTAAACTTTTACGGGATATTTACTCAAATACAGTTTTTAAAAAAATACCACAAGAAAGTTAATTTCCTCATTTCTATGGTCTGGCAGGCTTGTTCTGAGTATTTTGGCCTGAGAATAGTATGACACAGAATTTTCAAGGGCAACTTAATATACCACAAAAAGATCATTAAAATAAAAATACACAAAAGAGAAACATCTGTTGTGCCTTTTAGATTGAACTGCAAAACTAATCAATGTCCGGTTAAGGAGAGTTTTCCTTGCGTGCCCTTATCTGCTTTACAAATAAAATTAAATAAGCTTCTTATTTGTTATTGGTGAACAACTAAAAGATAATGCAAACCTAAAAGAAAAGTTTTGCCTGTAAAGACTTCCTCCTCTCACCACCCCCCCACTTCTCAGAGGAAATTAGATAATTCCTGCCAGGGGATTGCTTCATCGCAGTGACCAGATACTATCTAATCTTCAGCTTCTATAAAAGAAGCCTCAAAAATGCTATAATTTTAATGCTCTCTTGCTCCTAAATACTTAAGATTTTGCTGAAGTGAGAACTGCTCAACGTATATTATCAGTTGGGCTTTAAATGTTAAAGAAAATTAACAGTCTCACTAAACTCTTAAGCTCAGTTGGCCTTATATGGATGTGCTGTTTGCAGGTGACTAGTTAACAGTCGCACCCGTCCCCTCCCCCACGTCACAAACAGCAAGGCGTTGCAGCAGTAAACGATCAGTTTACTACAGACTTTACAATCATTCAATAAGCTTTTGAAAAAATATTCGTAAATCGGCTTTAATAAGTTGGTATCCCTGGTTTTCTTTCATTTTTAAACACTGGTTTATATCCTGGTTTGTCAGTTGAGTAATCAATATGTCCTCCATCTATCTGTCTGTTTGATAATAATTAATCTATCATCTTTGCATACACTCATCCATTATCCTAATCCTTTATCCATCAAATGACTTCAGTTACAATAAATGAGATTAATGAGAAAGATTTTTTACAGATTAATGCTATTTTTCTGGCTTTTTTATTCACAATCGAGGCAATTCTTTTTCTGTAACTGTTTTATGTTCCGTCACGCTGCAGTGCAGCTCAGATGAATGTATAGATTATGGTTGGGTACAGTGTGTACGGTTTGCAGGTCTAAAGTTTGTTTCTGCCTGTCTATAGTTATTCTATTGTAAAACCCAGAGGACCAATCCAGGCTCTTTTACAACAGCTTTTTGGAGCTCATGTTTTATATTTTCTTATTATATTATCTCCTAGTTCTGTCAGAAAAGTCTCCCGGTTGGTAAAGGAAAAAAAAAATTATGCTTAGCGATTCTAGAAGACATACCTATGGAACGCAAAAGTACTCAATTACATAAATAAAACAATTATGATATAATAATACATAAATGTTCAATATAACAATGAAATTCTGAAATAAATACATGCAAGTAAAATGAAAAACATTATTTAATTTCCACTTTCCCTAGTAAAATAAGTTATCTAAATCCAGCAGTTTTTATTCAAATATTAAATCTTTAAAAAGTCTGCTGGTTGGTCCTTCACTCCCATAAAAAAGCACATCAGTGCATGGCATCACATTTCTGCTTAAGTGTCAGAAAAACTGTTTTTATATTCAACTAAATTTAAATACTTATTGTAATATTTTATAATTTACATTTTAAAGATTCTCTTGTACCAAAATATTTCCCCTAAAAGTTGTAAAGATACTTCTATGTAAAACCAAAACTATGGCGGCTAAGAATGAGAACTCTTATGTGATAAAAGTACTTTCAGATGAATACTGCTTTAAATTTATATTATTTCAAACAAGCAAAATATTTAAAGATGAAGCCTTTTTTTTTTTTTTTTTTTTACATGTACATTTGGTTTTCACACAAAAAGATTTAAAAGCAATTCTTACAGACTGATTTTGGTCTTTTTATTTCCACAAACTTCATACAGGTATAACATCTGTACAATTTACATATTTACAAAAAAAAAAGAATAGTTACAGAATATGTACAAGTACATACAATTATACAGTGCTAATTATTAAATAATAAGCTCATTTAGAGTCAGTTTATCCTTAAAGAATTTGATGACGCCTCTTACATATATATTGCTGTAAAGATGGCTTCCATGTGACTCTGTACTTTTTATGGTTTCCTAGCGATAAGCGCAACGTTCATTAGTATGCTTCAGTTTCTATAGAACATTTATGATTGCCAAGCTAGGATAAGGTTAGGATAGCTACGATTTATGAGAGAGGCAGACATTATTCACCCGACCTGTATGACTAGTGGTGATCTAAAGTTCACGCTGCTTTGATTCAGACTAGTCAGTTCAGTGTAAAGCAGTTCCCAGAAACATGAAAAAACAGATTCTGTTACCGGTAATGGCTTCAAAGAACCCTGCCAGTTGTAACAAGCCTGCAGACCTCTTGCGCAAATTCACACAAATTTCTAAAGAAATGACCTTAACAGGCAAAAAGAAAAAAAGTCCTTGTTGGTGTCGCTGTTATCAAGAGATTCCCTTGTTTTATAGAAATGTGTTAGTGTCCAGTCTCTACATGCAGCCTGCCCTCCTTTCTTTGTAAGAACAACCCTCATGAGAACATGCTTCATAGGTCCGGCTAGTTTTGCAGTCTTGGTTGTTTTGAGTGCAAACTCCCGGCATCCTGCCATGTTGGATCCTAAACAAACCCCAGGATTAGCTTATTTAGATGTCAGAATAAGCTTATTAAATGTGTTTAGATTTCAATAACAAGAGGTTTCATGTAAGAAAGGAATCTTATGATGCTCTTGGGGAAGGACAGCTCCGAAATGACTTGACGCGCACGTGTGCCGAGAGTCCTCCTCAAAGCCACTCTGCTGAGCTGCTGCAGGCTGAGGGGAGTGTCTAAGGAAGGAAAAACAAACACCAGATGTTTGATATTTGCTAAAGCTCTGGGCCATGAAAAGAGCCCTTCTTGTGGGAACACGTACTTTCATAGAACTCGAGGCAGAGATATGAGGGAGATCCCACGCTGGTGTAGTGGATGGGCTTCTTGTTGAGGTTGTCGCGGGCGAAAACATTTCCACCGAACTCAACAAGCAGCTCTATCAGATCCGTGTTCTTAGTTTTAGCTGCGTGATGAAGAGCCGTCTCATGGAGCTTGGAGGCGTTCACATTGGCCCCTTAGAATAATGACATTCAGTTATATGACTATTTTTCTCTGAGACATTTAGGTTTGTATACGTACAGAGCTTAACAGAAGTAGTCACACCAGTTAACTGTAACATTATACCACAAACCTCAACATATTTTACAGCGAGTTTATGTTATAGATGGTTTATGTGCATTAGCAAACAAGACAATGAGACAAGTTAAAGATGTGGAGATGTTTAAAGCAGGCGATCTGGAAGGCAATCTATGTCCTGGGATACTCCTTGAACACAGTGGAGCAAGTGGGAGAAAGAGCTCCTTCTGTCACGTTATGCTGAGGTGGTTTCTTGCAGATTTAATAACCAAAAGGAGGCAACTGAAGCAAAACTTCAAAAATAACAAAATACAGAGAACCAGAAGACGTCAGGAAAACACACAAGGATCAAAAACAACTAGAAACCAGCAAAGAGTAACTGAAGAGGAGGAGTATAAATATATGCTCAACAGAACAAATACCCCATTTACTCTACCCTTGAAAATCCGTGCAGAGACCGGTCCCAGCTCAGTAACTGAGATAACTTATGGTGTGTAAATGGAAAGCAAACTGAACTGAACCGAGCTAGACACAACCGGACCAAGATAACTGCAGACCAGTTCCAGAGGTGGGCTCGGCTCGGTTTTTCCCTGGCTCGGTTCTCTGATAACAAGAGCGCATGAGCAGAACGCGTCATCTCCGTCTGACTGCACATCCCGATTCACACTCCATTCCAGTAGTTGGCGGTAATGCCCCTTCAGAAACAGAAGAAGAAGAACAACTTCTTCTTCAACTATAAAAAACAATTGAAATCTTCCCCACGCAACATTTTAAATAATGGCATTTTAAACAATAACACCGAAGTACAGCAATAATAATCAAGCAAACTTGATAACGTGCGCCGCCATTTAGATTTGCTTGATTCCCTCATTCTTCCTCTTCTTCTTCTTGTGTGTTATGGCGGTTGGCAAACAACTTTTGGTGCATTACTGCCACCAGCTGCTTGATTTCCTCCTTCAATACTGGCAGTATTTCGAGGAACCGAAATAGCGTGATGTGTAAACGGTCGTCAGAACCGAGCTTGGCCTGGTTAACTGATCCGAGCTCGAACCGGTCTCGGCATGGATCGGTTTTTCAAGGGTAGTGTAAATGGGGTAAAAGACTGGGGTGATCAACTAATTGGGAGCAGGTGTGGACAGAAGAATCTAGAAGGGAGCTAGGGGAAGGAGACTGACACAAGAGGGCCACAGAAGATAAACAAGAAATATATAAGAACTCAAATACAACCAAAAACTACACAAAATGAAATGAAACCAATGAAAACTCAAAAAGAAAACTTAAACAGAACCAACTAGGGCAAAATTGTGACAACTTCAGTGAAAATCTGCTGCACTATAGGTGCACAAAGGAGCACCATCACAGATCCTTCTTTTGAGCTTCTATTAGATTTTATAATCTTCAATTTACCAACCATCTTTAGGTGTCTGAGTGTTTTTCTACATACAGGATGTTTTTACTGCTTTTTTTTATTGTATTTGTAAATGCTATTTTGCCTTTTAATCTTGAAATTTTTCATAATTTGAAAAATTGCATTTTCTGTATATGTGCAGTGTTTTTATTATTTTTTTTTTTCTTCCCTGTACAGTTTATTCTGAAGATTTTGTGGAGATTTTTGTTCTTTTTCATATTTCTATATGTCTTTTGTGTTTTCTTATGTTGCCTATTTGCTTTTCCGCTGAGGTACAACATGAAACAAAAAATTGTATTTCTTTTCATCTATTTCACAAATCAAGTTTTTATCAACAAAAAAACAAAAGAACAGAACGCACTCAAGTCTTCAAAGAGGCAAAGTTACCTTCTAGCAAAACAACTTTAAAGGTATCATCAGATGTTCAACAGAAAGAGCTGAAAGCATATTCAATTGTCAGAATGCCTCAAAGTACAGAGATCTAAAGATGAAAAGTTAAAAAAGTATTGATCCACAAGGAATGAATTCATCTGCACTCAAAACTTTTCATTCTATTATTTTATCCCTTATCCTCTTCTGTAAACTGCAAACTCATGTACCGATGGGTTGGTCACATAAAACCCCAAAAGAAATATGCTGAAGTCTGTGGTAACGCTGTAGCAAAATAGCAAACAAATAAATAAAAATGACAGCAAAGATGAATTGAATGCAGAGGATTGAAGGAGGAGGCTCACTCACCTGCCATGAGGAGCACTTTGGCGCAGTCAAAGTGCTGCCTGGCACAGGCTACATGAAGCGGCGTTCCATAGTGACAGTCATGAGCCTCCATGAAGGCTCCTCGATCAATCATCAGCTGAACACAGTCTGAGTTACCTGATGGGAAAGACGAGGTGTCATTATGATAAAGGGCATCCTGAACAGTGGAGCACCTACTGACATCTAAATATCGAAACAAGAAGGCCCCAACCGCCCAATGATGATATCTGGCCTTTTTCTTTAGTGACAGAAATAAATACTAATGAAAGTTTTAAGGATTATTTTACTGCCTACCCTTTATCCTCCTATTCACAAGGGAAAGTTCAGTCAATCAGATTGGTTTGTAGTGGTTCTTATTAGCGTTGCACCAATACCAGTATTGGGCGGGGCCCCGATCCAGTATTACAATGGTGGTATGGGTAAGTACCAAGAAATAGGACACCTATACCATTTTTAAAGCCAAAAGTTTATTCAACTATTGTCACCCAATCCAGGTAGGCAATAAAAAGTTCTACTGGATTCACTTTGTATTAGTCTTTTCCCTGTTTTACAAAGGTAGGCAGCAGCTTGACAAACCCATGATGGTAATTATTTTACATCCAAGTAAATCCATTTCAAACAGATGGTATGGGTATGGGCCAATATTGCACAGCCAGGTATCGGAGCCAAAAAATGGCATCGGTGCAACACTAGTTCTCATTGCCTTTAAATTATCAAATATTACTAAAACGATAATAGTGGGCAAGTTTAAGATAGAAGCCCCTTTCTTGAGATCATTTCCTGACTAATAAAGATGAACAGTCAAAGTTTAAGCATTAAAAATACAGTGTGTTCTCTTGTCTCTCCGATTTTTGGTGGCGAACAAGAAAAGGCCTCAGAATTACATAATATTTCCACCCTAGAGAAACAAAAGCTTGTTGACTATGTAATGTAAAAATCCTATATACAGATAAAGTTGAGCAGAAGGGGACATTTTAAGATGTGTTTAAGTATTAAGTTCCATTTAATCAGTCTACTTAGGAAACCCTGACTGAAGTCAACGTCACACCCTTAAACTTCTTAGGAGTATTGTCAGAGAAAGCCTCAGGAAATTTGAGCATGATAATCTATCTAGATATTGTATAACCTTGCTGACAGGCAAAGCTGTTTGCATAACCCCGTACCTCCCATGCAAGCCTCATGAAGCGGAGAGAAAGTGAACAGAGGAGGATTGACGGTTGCTCCGTACTCCAACAGCAGTTTTACACAATCCAAGCTACCGGCCGCACAGGCGTCACACAGCGGGGTGCTTCCATCAATGTTTCTAGCATCCACCTGTAGGACGGCACCACAGTCGTATGTAAACACATTAGAAAAGCCTATTTCACAACTAAATCCACCTGTTAAGACATCGAGGCCACCTCACCTGTGCATCGGCGTCCAGAAGCAGCCTGACACACTGGGTCTGACCCTGAATGCACGCCTCATGCAGCGGGGTGATGGAGTCCACGGCCACGATGTTTACGGCCGCACCCGCCTCAATCAGCTGCTGCAGCTGTAGGGCTCGGCCCTGAGCGGCAGCTTCGTGCACGGCTGACCGGTCTGTCCAGAACCCGAGGCCATGAGCTGCAGACACAAAAGGCAGATCAAATCTGAGCACTTGGGTTCATGAAGCCTGAGGTGTGGTGCAGAAATCAGCCTTTAGCTGTCTACCATGATCTTTTCAAATAGCCATAACATTCTCCTTCATACTGCTACTTAAAAAAAGAAAAATATGTTTGTCTCTCAATGTGGTTTACAGATATTACATATTCATGCTATATCAAGCATGCTCCAGTATGACTTTTTAGACTTAGACCAGTGGTCAAACTGGTTCCAGAAAGGGCCGTGTGGCTGCAGGTTTTCTTACCAACCAAACAATCACACACTAGACTACATTCATCTCATCTAGTGATTCCAATCTGAACATGATGACTTGATGAGATGAATGGAGTCTGGTGTGCGATTGTTTGGTTGGAAAGAAAACCTGCAGCCACACGGCCCTTTCTGGAACCAGTTTGACACCCCTAACTTAGACTAAAGGGCAGATTAGACTTCTGTAACTGCACACATAAAATGTGGCTTGGGTCTGGTCACAAACCAGTTTTGCTGGTATGCTTCTGCACCGTCGGTCTGGAATTTCTAGGGACGCACAGCAGTTTCCCGCCAAAGCGCAAGGGAGAGCCTATTCGAGAACTCTCGAGAAATTCGGCGGATGGTCACAAGAAAGTTTTGGCAGAGACCTTGAGATCTGCCAGAGATTTATATAGAATTTGTCTGAGGCATCATACAAGTGGTTGTACTTCTGAATGTCCTGAATTAACCTTTCGTCATAGTTGTCCATTGTAATTGTTCCTTGGTTTTTAAAAACATTAAAAAATGGTGCGCTCCGGCAACGAATCGAGAAGGACGACCACGCAGACAGCCAGAAAGGCATACCAAGGACCATTCACAGCTGCTTTTTGTAGGTGCACTTCCTCTTTAGGTTTCCGCAGGTTTGCGACAGTCCGACATGTAATCAGGATTTTTTTGAAGTGACAGATTTGACGATTGCAGAGGCTATGCGTTAGAAGCATAAATTGGCCTTTAGAATACTTTGTCATTTTGTTTACACAGAGTGTATACAAAATTAAATTTCGTTTTGAACAGCTCTCATGGCATTTACATTTTTTAAAGTGCTGCACTGCTCAAATGTTAACCGTGTGCGGGAAAAAAACATGGTGCCAAAAAAAACTGCATTGAGTTACGGAAGTTCAGAGCAATAAATATCTATGGTGCCATTATGCAGTGTTTTGGTTTGGTGTTATGAGTTTGATGCAGAATCTGTGACATGAGTTTTTTCAACAGTTCGGCTGTCTGATGATGGTGGGGAAGAAGCTGTTTTTTAGAATTGTTATTTTGTATGAAGAGTTTGTTGCTGAAATGCACATGCTTCAAGAGAAATACCCAATGGGGCTTAAAAAAGTCAATATGTTGTTTCTGCAACAGTGGGACAGAAAAAAGCTGTTTTATTGGTCCGGCATTAATGAAAGAAAAAAAAACAAAGAGTGAGCATAAAGGCCTAATGATCCAAACAGTGAACTTTAGGTCCCTCATTAAAACGCTGCACAAGCATAGAGCAAAAACAAACTTGAAAGTCCAGCCCTGAACGTCACATTTCCAGCAGGTTATACTCAATTATTTCTTTATCTAACTATGGCTCATTTATTGCCATTTTATGCTACATTAAGGTCTCCCTTTTTAAGCAGTTTGCTGCAACTCATGCAACAGTAATGCAGGCAAGAAAGTATATACATATATATATAAATTTCAGAAACATGTGCCTTTTAAGGCTAGCCATTAGCACAGTTGATATATGCAGAATGTAACCACAAAACAATAATTTACTTCACTTCTGAAAAATATCTTCCCTTCAGTGGAACTAAATTGTGCAATAAGAATTGAGTCATTGCATTAATCTACACTTTACGCGTGTTGTGGCGTGTTGAGTAATTCATCTTTTTATTTCTTTTATCCATCTTTTAATTTGTGGGCCTCAAGACAGTTCTGCTTTATAAAAAGGAAAATTATTTTTTTTATTTTTATATTTTATTTAGTCAACTGTCAACAACAATACAATGAACACAGGGACAAAGTAAACACGACATTTTTTTTTTCCCCTTCTCCCCTCCTTCCCACTCCCCATCCTGTGGTCCCTTCCTTTACCTTCTATTTATTCTGTCCCCGACCCCTCCCCAACTATCCATACCCAGCTGCAAACAAAAGAAACAGCAAAATAAAGTAATAAAAAAAAAATAGTTATACAGCTGAGGAATCACAATCATAACAAAACCCAGGGGACCAAGACAGGGTACAGAAACATGGACAGCATGTAGAACAGGGGTCCGCGCAAGCGTAGGTACACAGATCAAGACAGGACATGGATATTTAAAAACTGCACAGGTTGACAATCACTATCGCTAGCCAGATTCACAAGGAGCCGCCGGGCCGGGGGAACAGGCAACTACAACAGAGCTGGTTCCTATGCGATTTTCAGGCTCGAGGGAGGGTATCCAGTCTTTCAAAATAAGATAATATAGGGGTCCAAGTTTTATAAAATTTTTGGGTCGAACCTCTAAGACAAAATTTTATCTTCTCTAACTTAAGGAACATGGACAAATCTTTCAACCACAGAGAAGCCTTGGGTGGGTGTTCTGATTTCCACACTAATAATATTCTTCTTCGGGCGAGGAGAGTTGAAAAAGCTAGTACATTTTTAAAATCATGTGTTAATGATATCCCATCCCCTGGAGTTCCAAATATTGCCAATTCAGCACTGGGTTGGATACCTATTTCGAAAGCTTCAGATAGGATCTGAAAAATTGTGGACCAGAAGTTAGGAAAATTATTTTTAACAGTAGTTTAGTAACAGATTGCTTGATAGAAGCTGCAAAACAAATGATAAAGATTAAAGGTCTAGGTTTATCCTTCAGAACCCTCCACTCTTTGCACAACAGCTGTCCTGGCTTACTGCATCCGCCGAACAACAATTTCACTGGTTATCATTTATATATTTAAATGTATGCATCTTAGTTATCCGGACCATTCAAAAAACAATAAGTGATTCGATTTAGCTCCTTATATAATCTTAGACAGGCAATTCAAAAGTCTTTTCTTGTTTTTAGACTCGGTAAGCAGATGTTTTATTTAAATATTGAGCTCTATAAACTCTTTATGTGTTCAAAAAGACACTTCTTCGATATCTTTGAATATGTGGGACTTTTTTTGATTCTCCTTTGTGTAATACATGTTTTCAGATTGTGTTAATGTCGAACAGTCTTTATTAGAAAATTTTGCAGAAATATTGGTATTTTTATAAGTTTTCACTTTTCATGTGTTATATAAAATGAAATTGTCTTGTTTATTTGTCTGGTTTGGGGATCACAGTTGTTGTTGTTTTTTTTGTTTAAAGAGCTCACTTAAAGGTGTCGTGGAGGATTTTTTTTTTTCCGGGTGGATCATCTAAATAAGTGGTCCTCCTTATTGTCAATCATTCAGGTGATATGTTTTCGTAAGGCCGTCCTACATGCTCGTTCCCAGTTCCCTCGTTCCAAACTTATATATTTTTTGTATTATTTACAGACTTTATTAATAGGTTAATTGTTGAATTTGTGTATTTATTTTTTGTTGTTTTATCATTTTTTCTTTCTTTATTATGTAAAACAGGAAGAAATGTGGGCGGTCCACTTTCTATAAATGTAGGAGCCTGGTAAGGACCAGCAGGCATTTGGGTTAGGGGCCTATGGGTTTTTAATTTTACCAGTGCAAGAGAGGTGACAGAGCAAGGAAATGTTTGAACTCTGTAATGTTGCAAAAAATATAGGAAATAAATCAACTGAACATCTACAAGTTTGGACTTCAACTTCTTATGCCTGCATCAAGAAAACGTGACCCCAGTGCCTATAGTGGCTTATTGGAACTTTATTGGATGTTTGGTTTGACAAACAATCGCCACTACAATCATATTTTGCCAGACTGCTCTGAGCATGTCTGATGATGGCGTCAGAGAAGCAGTTTAATGAAGAAAATGTAAAAAGCATAAACATTGTCTCACTAAAGCCATAAAAAAATGTTTACAGATGTGTATTAGTGTTCTTTAGTGAGTTAAGGAAAGAAATAAGTAGTTTTAGTACCATAATTACATTATTTATGGACACTCCCTGATGTATATCTATTCATGCATGCGCAGAACAAATGGCGTAACGACACAACAATAGGCCCAGTAAGCAACACTATCTGGGTGGGCCTCATATCAAGCACAACACCCTCTAACAATTCTCTTAAACCCACCTGATACTAGTTTGACTGACCGGACCAAAACATGCCAGATTTCAACATGATGGTGAGCCGTTTAAACACAACACCAATACAGTACAATGTGTTGTACGTAACGGTTATGGTTTCAATCTAGGCTCTACATTGCCAATTATTCCAAGTAGTATTGTAAAAAATAAAATACTCAAATACATCGTTCTTTTAAGATCTTTATTGTGGTGTGAAACATAATATATGAGTCTATTTTTAACCAACCGTCTAATGAACTATACACAGTTATTAACGTAGTAATTAAAAGTACCACTGTCTGCTTTGCTATTTGCATGTTGAAGTCTGCCATGTGTTGGGGTATAAATAAGGTCCGGTCAGTCAAACTAGTATTGAATGGGTTTAAGAGGAATTTTTTGCACCATTACATCTGCAAAGAGACGTCCTAGTCCACAATTGCGTAGGGGGCCTACCGGGCGTCGATGACCAGGCCCCTAAGAGCTCGGGGGTCCGTAAAGCAACTGCATACTCTGCTTACAGATAGTTATGCCATTGCGCAGAACGGAAGATGCTTCCGGGACGGATGCGATACAGTTTGTCCGAGTGGAGTTGCCATATGATGATGTCATAAGAAAGGGCAGGGCCCCCAGCAGATCTGGCACCTACACAGCCCTGAGCAACTGCCCCTATGAATCATTACAAACACTGCCACAGGTTATGACTCATCAAAGTATTAAAGCATCTTAATGGCTAAATAAAGCACAAGATGCAAACTTTACATTTTAGAAACATATGAAACTGACTCAGTGGTGATTAAAAACTTAAATGCATTCAGCTGATTAATACTGTGCATCTGTTTAGTGTGGCAGTAAGCCATGATACTTCACCTAATTGTGATAGTAATAAATGTAATATTACACCTCAGATCAATTTGATGCAATATGTGCTGCAGGATTCATAAGCCGATATAATGTTGTGGTTGTTTTGGAGAATAAATTGCTCTGTTCTCCTGAATAACGAGCTTAAAGCCTTGGTTCACCTTGCTCACCATTATCACCACTTTCACTAACCACGCTGTTTCTCCTCCGGCTACATTTCCAGCCTAAATCAAGCATAAAAAAACCAACATATAACGTTAACTGCCAAGCTCACCTTGTCATTAGCCGAATCTTTTTATAAACTGGTATCTCAGGTTAGTCACACACTGTAAGCTACTTACCGATTTCTCCATACAGCGACGGTCTGGCCCGAGTTATCTCCATTTCATCTTCCCGTTCTCCTGCTTTCGGCTGTCGGTGTAGAATCAGCCGATGGTGCGCCTCGTTTTGAAGGAAAGAATTAAAAAAGCCTGTAAGCGCTGCATTATTAGAAATTACAGCCGAGCAGGGTCCCGTTCAGACTGAGCATGCGCAGTGCAAGCTAGAGGAATGCAGGGGGATTCTGGGAAATGTAGTCAGGAGGAGCAGCGATTGCGAAGTTAAATAAACAGGAAGCGTCTTGCAAAAAATCTTGATATGTGTTTTTAGTGTTTGTTGTTGTTGTTTGTTTGCTGAGAAATTTTGAAATAAATTAAAGAGACGTCATTTTGGTCAAAGTGACCAATTTGCCCTTTACCAATACAGATTGGTTAAAAACACAACAGAATTAGATTGATTGTTTTACCAAAGGGATGGTTGGACATATAACTACCAACCCAATTGGTAAAATTCAGTACATTTTTTGGTTGTACTGACCAATCTGTTTTTAAGGTCTACCTAATGCAGGCATCCCCATAGTTGGTCCTCGAGGGCTGCTGTCCTGCAGGTTTTAGAGATTTCTCTGCTCCAGCACAGCTGGTTTTAATGGAAAGCTGATTAACAGGCTTTTGTACAACTGCAATCATCATAGCCAGCTGTGCTAAAGCAGGGAAACCTCTAAAACTCGCAGGACAATGGCCCTGGAGGACAGACTTTGGGGATGCCTGACCTAACGGCTAAACTATGGTTATCTGTAGGCACCAGGTATGTTTGAAGTAATTCCTACAATTTTATATCTGAAAAGTACAAAGAATGGAAAGTGCTAAGGGGAAATTGCCAAGCAGCTTGGTGAAAAAAGGTCCACTGTTGGAGCAATCATTAGAAAATTGAAGAAGCTAAACATGACTCTCAATCTCCATCTGAATGAGGCTGCATGCAAGAACTTACCTCATTGGGTCTCAATGATCCTAAGAAAGGTGAGAAATCAGCCCAGGACTACACGGGAGGAGCGGATCAATTACCTGAAAAGAGCTGGGACCACCGTTTCCAAGGTTACTGATGGTAATACACTAAGATGTCATGGTGTAAAATAATGCATGGCACGGAAGGTTACCCTGCTTAAACCGGTACATGTCAAGGCCAATCTGAAGTTTGCAAATGACCGTTTGGGTCATCCAGAGGAGTCATGAGAGAAAGTCCGGTGGGCAGATGAGACCAAAATAGAACTTTTTGGTCATAATTCCACAAACCATGTTTGGAGGAGGAAGAATGATGAGTATAATTCCAAGAAAACCATCCCTAATATGAAGCACGTGGGTGGTAGCATCATGCTTTGGGGGTGTTTTCTGCACATGGGACAGGGTGACTGCACTGTATTGAGGATGGCATGACTGGTCCCATGTATTGCCATTGTGGGAAACAACCTCCAGTGACGAAGATGGGTCGAGGCTGGATGTTCCAACATGTCAATGACCAGAAGCCAGGATAACAAAGGAGTGGCTCAGTAAGAAACATATCAAGGTTCTGGTGTGGCCTTGCCAGTCTCCAGACCTAAACCCAATAGAGAAACTTTGCAGGGAGCTCAAACTCAGCGACGGCCCAAAAACCTGACTGATCTAGATGAGATCTGTGTGGATGAGTGGGCCAAAATCACTGCTGCAGTATACGCAAGTTTGGTGAAAGACTACTGGAAACATTTGATTGCAAACAAAGGCTACTGTACCAAATATTAACACTGATTTGCTCAGGTGTTCAAATACTTATTCAGTTGTATCATACAAATGCATTGTTACAAAACCATACATTGGGATTTTCTCTCACAGTGGACATACACCTACAATGACAATTTCAGACCCCTCCATGATATCTAAGCAGGGTGTTCAAATACTTATTTTCCTTCCTGTAAAATCCAGCTTCTTTCTGGTACAACAGAAGACCAAAAAAAATGATTCACATTCATCACTATGAGAAACTAAATATCATTAAGGAAAACCAGATCTAAGTCGGTGAAGTCAACATTTTACAGAATCTCACTTCCTTGTTTAAAAAAAAAAGTAATTAATCTCTGTGGTCGGAAATAAAAAAAAGTATTTCCTGTGTTGGCATTGGGGGTTTACCCAAATGCAAAGACAGAATATAGATATATGGGAAGTAGAGAGGCCATGGGTGCTGTGAAGGTTGCTTGGTTTGGGGTTAGCTTGCCACGTCTGGTTTGTAGTAGAAACAAAAGCACATCCATGTGTGTTTTTAATTTAAAGTTTACACCTCTGTTCTATTAGTTTCTGAATTATTTCTTAGTGCATTCCTTTTGTTCATTACATTTTCATTTTATTTTTCCTGTCCGTCCTGTCTTCACTGTTAATTTTTTCTCCCCTCCCCCTGAGGCAGCACTCAACTAGTTGCAGCTGCAACTCCTCATTATACCTATTTTCTGCACCTGTTTATTCTCTATTCATGCCTTCAGTTTGTCTTTGTCTTTCACTAGGCCCCTTTGTTGCTCACTGCTGGTTCAAATCAGCTCTCTAACCACTTTTGTTTGCCTCATCTTACCCTGAAAGTTTAAATTACTTAATTAAAACTGCTTCTGTTCTACATGCCCCCAAGGCAGTGTTTTTTTTTTTTTTTTTTTTTGGTCCAGAAGTCCAACTTTATGACAAAAATATTCAAGGACAAAATTAATAAAACTGAGAATATCATGAGAAGAACAGGAAATGGACAGAGGTAGGGGTAAAATACGAAGCAAACAGTCATAGCAATGGAAGGATCCAGAACAGAACAATGAGAACGAAAAACTTTGGGTATAAACACAGAGGAAGTTGGAGAACAGTTGAGGATCTAAAAGTGGGAGAGTAAAAAACACAATGGAGCTGACTAAAGAAACAAAGCAAAAAAGAGAATATTGATTGATTGATTGACTTTATTGATCTCACAGTGGAGAAATTTACCCGTTACATCAGCTCAAATAGTCAAAGGAGAAGAAGAATGTGCTAAGGGAAGAAAAAGGTGCATGGGATATATACAGAACATACAGAGCATCCACATATGACATTTTTTTGTTGTTTTTTTTCTTTTTTTAGCAGGATTACTACTATTACATGGGTATTTATAAAGATAAGATATTTATACATATAACTATTGCAATGGGTTTCAAATATAAAAAAAAGAAAACAGTTTAAATACATAACTTATTCTAAATGAGCATGTTATTCCAAGTGAGCCAAAAACATGAGAAAAGACCATCAAACAAATTATAGATCACACATACAACATGGAAATTACATAAAAAAAAAACAGAAATTGAAATCACAAACTCCAAAGCATCATAGCATGTGAGCTATTGAGATTAAACATTTAATAGGGCTTGGTCGTCGTGACGTAATTACTTTGCGTGGCCGCCATGTTGATGGCCTCCTTTACCGCTGCTCAGACTACTGCCCTTGACTACCGCATACTGCACTCCCTCTCAGCCGTGTTTTAATTTGATTAATTTCACCTTAACTTGATTTCAACCATGGTAAACCGTTGCTGTATTATGGGCTGTAACAGCGTAACACATGATCGCCATGGGAAAAACATAGAAAATGGGTTAACTTTCCACCGCTTTCCTGCCTGGAGGTGCAACAACGGAGAACAAGTGTCAGAGATAAAGAGTCGGCTAGCTTGGATCGTGGCTGTAAGACGACCGAAGATAACTTTCCACAGTATCCCGATGTCAATGAGAGTGTGTTCCCTGCATTTTCATTCTGGTAAGTTAAAGATGCACGGTTTTATTTTATAGCCTACATTGTTTCTTTCCTTCAAAGTTGGGATCTTTTACGGGAAAATAATAAAAACGGCAGCGGGAAAAGGCTCAAATACGTGAGAAACCCCGAGGGTTTGGGGAGGGTTGGCAGTTAGCGTTACTAACTACACCTTTGAAACACATAGCAGCTAGTTAAAAGTACATTACATGCGTGAGTGGTTGTTAGCACTAGCGGTTAGCAAATACTAAACTAGCAGGTTCCAGAGCCTGTCTGAGCACAGCTTACCTTTGTACGGATTACTGTGTTCCCACTGTTTGCTGGCTTTATGATCTGCAGCTCGTGAACCCATCCATTCATGAACTGCACATGAGACTCCAAGGACTTGTAGCTTCAGAACTGTTTTGAAGTATAGGCGCTCACTCATCGGTGCTCCACTCATTGTTTGGAACTTCATATGGATCCAAATTATTAATAATGCTGATTTTGTCAACATACCGGTCCATGGCTTCTCTATTTAATGTGTCCCTGTAAATTCCAGATCCTTTTTCGGGATTTTAAAATCTTTTTTCTCTCTACTTCTACGTCTCTTCTTTCAACAACAACGTTGTATCAGAGCTATGTTTACGTTAGCGTAGCCCTCAATATGGCCGCCACGTCCCACAATGCAATGCGGATCCAGAGCCCTATAGCAGTTTGGCTCAATGTCTTCTGCTTTAGGGGAGAGGTGGTCTCGTGGTTAGGGCATTGTGCTTGGATCCCAGAGGTTCCGAGTTCAAGTCCCCACTCCCACAGACTGCCACTCTGGGTTCCTGGGCAAGACCCTAAACACCCACGCTCCCTGGGCACTGCACAACAGAAGCCCACTGCTACCTAAGGGGATTAGTTAATTGCAGAAAGTAATTTTCGTTGTTTTGTACTTGTTAAAATGTAATGACAATAAAGTTGAATTCTACAATTCTTCTTTAGTTGAAATTTTAAATACTCTGGCCACCTCTACGTCTCAGAACAATACCTTTCACACAGAAGTAGAGAAGTTCTTTGGGTTGGGGACCTTAACTTGATGTGGATGAAAGAGTATTAAGGAAGTTTTCTCTTACCTCAGTCAGGAAATTTGAATATTTTGAACCTTACCGAGAGCAAATGTAAAAACAGATATATAATTTTATTGACTGTATTTTGTGAAAAGTTCAAGTACTGCATAATGAATGGTATCCATGTACAGATGGTAAATATATAGTAAACCTCGAGAAAAGTTAGATTTTTATAACAAACTGCTTTCCAGAG